ATTCCTTATTATTGTTCAGTGTTTCTAATTGTAATTTTCCTGAAGCACGTAACAGAAATCAGTGGTACTTCCTCTTCTGTTTTTGTAATATAAATTTAAAAATTTTGAGCTTATATCAGTGTGTGCCTGATGGTGATTTAAAAGATGTTCTCAAAATACTCTTGAGCCTCAGTGATGAAGTGAGAATGTTAAATTATGGTAATTTAGTAGCTCTTTTATGAGTTAATTTAGGAAGATGGATTTTCTTAGATTATCTTATAAATACCTTGATCTAGATAAAACTCTATCAATAAGCTGAAACCAATGTATTCATAATTCGGCCATGTTGGTGTTCTTTTTAGTAAATGAATGCTCAATTTCTCATTTTGATATAGAGACAAATACCTCAAGCATAGGCTTGGGTAAAATTTTTCCTGGTCACATTCCTGATAGCCAGCTCCCTTGAGTGCATTGATCAATGACAGGCAATAGTCAGTGATGAAGTAACTGAGAAGAAGAAGCAGGAGATGATGTTGAAACAGTCTAGAACTAATCACTTTTCACCTGGCAATTCCACTTTAGAGAATAAATATTTATTGACTAATTACAGCTATACTTTCAAAATACAGGAATATTGGAAACAACCCAACTATCCAACATTTAGAGGACAGTTAAGCAAAAACTATGCTAAGAATATAAGTTCTTACAAAGTAAAATTAAAATATATGCTATAGAAATAAAATAAAAAGTATATAAGAAAGGAAATATCTTAAAAACTTTTTATCATAAAATTAAAATACAGAAAATCTAGATATAATAAAAACAAAGTTTGCACAGAGATAAGGACAAAGCAAATACATTAAATGCATGCTTATTTTCAATGGAGGTAGTCTTTGTAGACCTTTGTTTACTAAGACTAGCTAAGTATAGAATAAAAAAATATCCTCCCAAGGTCTTAGGCAAATAATTTTATCTACAGGTAAACTATATCAGTAGGTATTACATTTATATAAATATATAAATACTTATATCTATAAATAAGCATACATATGGAAACAAATATATGTATATAAACTTAAAACACTGTTATGAATGAAAAAGTATGCTAATTAAATATGATGCAAATTTGGAAGAAATACATGATTTGTTTCTCTTGGCATGCTCTACTATCCTATTTGAATCCAGATGTAGAAGGGTGCAGTCCTTATTTCCTTCCAATTGTCTCACCTCCACATAAATGATGAAGAAAGTTAAAACCGAGGCCATCTTAAGTCTGCCATGTGAAAAACAATTAGAATACCCAGGAACTGGATACTCAAAGACAGGTATTCTAAAAACAGAAACTTGTTAACTAAAATGATATTAATTTTAAACATGACTTTTAAAAACATGGATTCCCTGGCTTAATGCTTAGAACACCCTAAACCAAACTGAATAAATGAAATTATTTGGGATGGAAAAAGAAAAAAAGAGGCATAATGTACCAGAGGGTCTCTTTATCCTGGCTGAGAAGGTGACAGGGTCTGTGATGAAGAACAGAATTTTACATGTAAACAGGGCAGATATAGGGCAATATAGAAGCCATCTACATAATTTTGAAAAGCTCTATGATAAGATAAAATCTAAAGAGAGAGAGAATGCTAAGACTGTGAGGGATGTTTTGTTATGGCTAGGAAAGAACCTAAGACACAGGACAATGTTAAAGCATCTTTTCTCATTATAACTCTGCTTAAATCTGTTTGAAGGAGCATAGAAATGTATGAAATCCTACCCTTGGTAAGATCCACTCTTCTCCTTCCAGAATGCTGAGGCTAACACAAATCTGATTGGCAAACAATTGAAATACATGACTGTTTTTCCTTGACACCAGTTTTTAACACTGTCAACATTAAACGTGAGATCTGTTCCAACAACCCTTAGTGGACACTTAGGTTATTCATAAAGTTGTCTAAAACCTTTCACAAAAATAGCATCCACGCTTTTATGAGCATAATCTACAAAAATCCTTTTTTAAAGTCTATCGATAAAAGGCAGCTAAATTAAAAATTTCTGCTTTGCTCCAAGCAACAGATAATGAATTAAGCCTTGCTCCAAGAAGAGCTCCAAAGTGCTTCACATAGGGATATAGGCCCACAAGACTCCTCAATGGAAAGCCGAATATCTCACTTACCCCCTTCTTTCTTAAATAATGTAATTTTTATATCTTAATTGCCAAGCTTTCTTCATTTTAAAGTTTTTATTACACTAACATTATGCTAACAAAATAAATTTTTAAAGAAAAAAATTCATTTACAAGCCTGCCACTACACTAAACCTCTTTATTTTATCCATAGACATATATAATTTATAGTTGTAATTGCATCATATGTAACACAATAGAGCCAGGCTTTTAAAAGGCATTCCTTTATATTTCCTGATAACATGATCTGGCAAACTTTCCCAGTGTGCTCATTTAATTAGTACATATTATATGAAATCCAGTGTATGCTAGAGGCCCATCAAAATGTTAAAATTCAGTGTATACCCCATAAATATATATCACAAAAGGTATCTTTTACCCTAAAAATGTAATTTTAAGACTGTAATTCACATTTATATGTTCCTTTTCATCTTACCTCTTCTCCAGACAGATAGTAGGCTGAGAGTAGTCCACCAACAAAGCGTATATTTACTTCAAAGACGGAAACTTCAGCATTCTGTGGAAACAAAATAAAGGGGGTTCATAGGTGAATGACAGTATACAATTGAAAAAAAATCATTGTGATAAAGTATACTAGATTTTCAAATTCTTTTCAAATCTTATGCTTTCCCAGATAAATTTATATACAAGAGGGAAAAGTTCTGTCTCTTAACACTATGAAAATATATACAAATAGATAAAATAATTTTGACTCTTAAAATCACAATTTTAAAAATATAAAGTTATTTCTTCTCTCTATTCAACAGCAGACACAATACTCAGTATTCTCTATTGGTGCAGATGCAAAAGGGCTGGAGCACTCTATTTTTCTATTCTGTGTTCTCCTTTTATTCATTTGCTTTTTCTTCCTGAAAGGCCATTCTGACTCATTGTACTTTGGCTGGTAGTTCAACATTATTCTAGCCTTCTTTGCACATCATGTTGAAGTAGCACAGATAGAGTGCAAATCAGATTTTAAGAAAGGAGATTTGGTTCTAGTGCTGGTTCCCAACTTTCTGCCTGCAGCCTGGGATGGTCACACCTCTCAGAGAAGAAATTTCATCTTTGCATAAAGGAGATGATAATCATAATATATGTTGTGCCTTGATGAAACAGCTCTTGTTTACATCAATAAAAGCTTGCTATTAATATTATTATTATTTTATGCTAATATCTTTATATGTACTATGTCTCAATTCTCACACCAACCCTGTGAAATAATTGTTATTCTTATGTCTATTTTACAAATGGGGAAACTGAGATTTGAAGTGGTTACTGTGACTTTTTTAAGGTCAGACAACTAAAAGTGGTTGAATCAGGATTTGAACTTGAGTACTCCCATTTTTGGTCCAGGGCTCTGCTACCTTAACTTCTATATCACTGCATATAATAATGTACCAAGTCTCTTTATTAATGGTCATATAATTGTGGCAATAATTAGTAACTCTTGCCAATACTTTTCTTATTTTATGATATCTGACTACTAAATGGATTTGTCCCACATTCTGTTACTAGATAATTTAGCACAACTAACCTACAATAGATGTAAGGTACACTTCAAACTGTAATTAGCTTCTTTTCATGTTCCTTGTGCCTACTCAGCAATTGTTCACTTCTGCGTAACATCAAACTATTTACTGATAACTGATAACCATGGGGGATAACAGTAAACTATAATATATGGAGTCACTATCTAGCAGATAAACTTAGTCAAAGTCATAGAGATATTATTTCTTTTAACAAACATTCATTAACCAACTACTATGTGCCAGGCACTGTTGTAGGTTCTAGGGACATGGCAACGAAAACTAACAAGGTCCTAAAACTTATGAAGTCTACATAATTGTGGGAGAAAACAGTTCCAAGGGGAAAAAAAAAGGAGATATATTGTCACTTAATCCCTGCAGGTTCTCTCTAAAAAGATATAAGGATCCAATTTTTTCTTTAGCTAAAAATTTTTTTTTTTTTAATTTCCTGCAAAAGGAAGATTATGAAAACTATTTAGGAGGGAGAATTACTGGGCCAAAGTTAGGCAAAAGCATCATAAAATAAAGACAGGTGAATTTGTTTAATTGTATTTAATTAAATGTATTTAATTATTTGCCAATTACAAATAATTTGTAATATGTATCTATTATAATTTGATTAAAAGCACTCTATATAGGTACGATTTATCTGTGAGGTGTATCACTCCGAATGAAGTTATGTAAATATTGGTAAAAGACTTAGTATTTCACAAAATTACTGACAAGGAAAAGAAAAGGGAATCCATTGATCTAATTTGGTTTACATAGCTATGTTTCTTAGGTCTAAGGGTAACAATGTCTGATAGTAAAATCTAATGAATTTAAACCCTCAAATTATATCACTCTCAATTTGTACTTTTGTTTTTCAGTTTTTAAACCTTAGTATTTTAAGGTTTAAAATGTATTCTACATTTCTGCCTATTGAGCCTGTTAAGATAATTTTATATTCTTACTTTGACTATGGGTTCATTTGACATGTATTTTCTCTTCCTCCTATAAAAAATGTAGATAATCCGGACTTTCATACAGAGTATCTGATAAGAATTATTGCAAGGTAGAGGGCTGAGGAATGTCAAATACCGCTAGAAATTTATGTTCAGCTAGACATTCATCACCTGTTGGGTACAGCTGTTCAACCAGTTATTGATCCAGCAATGTATTCTAGAACCTAAATTCTATTTATCTTGCTCTACCTGTAAGACGTTGAGAGGTGATCCTGCAAAGTGCCATACTCAAGGTCAGTTGCTTTGTCTTTTAAATTTCATGGATCTAATAGTCTAGCAAGTCTAAGAAGCAAATCTGGCTGTTAGTGAATCCAGGCAGCATCCCAGTGATTGCTGTGTCCTTGTCTTTAAACATCTTGCTCAGGAATGTCACATTACCATTAGTAGTACTCAATAGTCATCACATTTCCCTCCTTTTGAAAACCAGAATGACATCTGAATTCCCAACATATAATTTTTTCTCCTTCCCTTTTTTTCAAAGTTAAATCTAAATTATTTAGAAAATTTAAGAGCTCTTTCAGCTTTCTGGGATATACTACATTTTAGGTAAGGAGACAAATTTAGATAGATACTCTAGGTCACTCTTTATAGACCCTTAGATGAAAAGGACTAAGAAGATAATTTTCCTACTATAACAGACTGGTTGGCTATATTGGGGGCAACAACTATAAAAACATTACACTAGAGCCAGAAAGACCTGAGGCTGAAGGCTGGTTCAGGAGCTAGCCGAATGTGCGGTCCCAGGCAAGTGACTTATTTTCCCTGAATCTTGGTTTTCTCATTTGTAAAAAGAGACAATGCATTCCTTACAAGGCACTGTGAGTCTGTGACTGTAAAGTACTGTGCACAATGCCTGGCACAGGTAAAGCATTCAATAGAGAGCTGCTACCATTACCACTCTACAGAAGCTCAGCCTAAATTACTTTCCACAGAGGTTACTAAAAAATCAGAAACTCTAGAATCATAATGTGCAAAATTCTACAGTGCAAACTGATACATCTTCTCTGAACCCTCAGGGGAATCTTATTTCTCAGTGGTTAAAAACCCTCTTTTGAAATATATAGTATCCTGACCAAACTTCCTTTTGGATCTCATGTACTTTATGAGATATCTGGATTTTTAAAAGTGAATTTTTACAATCTGAGGTTTTAGGCCATTTTTATAAACTTCTGATTCTGAGTTCCATTAAAATAATCTTATTAAATTTAAGTGAACATATTCCTCCTATTAATATCCATGCAGTGTCTTTTAAGATGTTCTAAAACTTCTCCAGTGACTCACCCTAATGACAGAAGAGGACAGCATGTAAAGGAGGGGAAACCCAAACAGCTTGTAATACTAAAATCTTATGTGATTTATCCTAACAATTAATGTGAATTTTGCAGTCTCCTTCATCTGTGTTTGCTTTAAAGTAAAATTAACTTCCTTAAATCTTTAAGTAAGGTTGCATCTCAGGAATACAGCTTCTAGTATACAGTTGCACGTGAGTGCCAGCTTGAGAAGCAAATCCAGTCTTCTGTTTAAATTGCATGTACCTATTGGTTAATATCACAACTGATGAACAAGTGGAAGTTGGAAGTTTTTGGCTAATAGCATATTCACAAAAAAATCTGAGTTGGAGAAACTGCTCTTTCATTTCGACTTTCCTCTACCAAAGCCTTTGAATCAAAGAACACACAAGCAGATTCATATATAAATTAATAAAATATATAGCATAACTAAGTTTACATCTAATATCAAGAGGTAAGTCTTACAAACCATGGAAAATTTAGGCCTCAGTATTAATCTTTCATATTGTCTTGGGCATTTTAGACTGATAATTTTCACCTTAAGTGTTTATCCTTTTCCCAATATTTCTGTCCTGATTTACTATAGAGATATGTATAATTATTAGATAGAGGGATAAAGACTGCTAAAAGGAAAAAAAAGCTTAATGAGTCATGTTGTATATCTCTCTCAATCCTTAACATTATGCTCCCTTTCTACTGGGAAAGGCTTCCTTCAAATCAACAGATCATGAGCTCATGGGCATGAAGAACCTAACTGGGCAAAAGGGAAAGTGAATATTTCAAAATCTCTTGTTTCAAAACAAGTGCCTGGAAGACCAGTCTCCTCCTGCTAGACAACATAGGTTTCAAACAACTCAGAGAAATTTACTAGGTTGTAGTTTTTATAAGCAACTTATTCACTAACATTATCTACAAAATGATCTATTTTAACAGATCTCAGCTTCCCCTGAAGAATAGATATATTATTTCTTTGCACCTTCAAGCCTTATGATAATTTAGAATCGAACTCGTGCCAGACTTCTTAGTTGTTATCCTATGACTCCACAGAGCCAACTAATTGCATTAAACTGAAAAACTATTGGAAAAGAACTTTTATTTTCCAAAATATGTTAATTCTATTTTGAGCGATACTAGTTCTTACAGGCTTTTTTATTTTTTATTTTTTAAGGTAATGCTTTGAGGTCATTTTGCTCGCTCTCTCTAAAAGAGACTCTCTCTCAGAGGCTACTCATTTGCTAGTTATTCCTACCAACTCCCTGTCAGTGTTTTACTCAATGAATTACCGTATAAGCCTGTGTTTCTCAGGCTGTTCCCATATATAATACACAAGCAAGCTGCCCCATTACAAACCAACACAACTATGTTTAGTAACAACTGGTTGACTGCAGTCCAATATTAACTGTATGTATGAATATCCCACTAGGATGCAATACGGTAACTATGTTTAATAATAACTGTCCTCTACTAACATATATGATAATTATGCTTTACCTTACAGACAAACATGTTGGAAACAACATGAGACTTCTCAAAGCCACTGATTAATGACAGGTAATTGCCTATAAGCCTTGCCTATGTTTAGGCTTAGTATATACCTTTATTTATAAATGGTACTTCCAAGTGTGTGTTTATTAACATTTTGAGGATTAGGAATAAGTATAAAGCTCATTTTAACAGATTAGATGGCAATATTAAACAGTGTTATATAAGTAACATATTTCCTAGCATCTTTTAGTTTCATATTTAAGTAACATGACAAACCTTTTAGGATGAACAAAGTGTAAGTTCTCTTGGCCAAACAGATAGGCAAATATCCATCTTCTCTATGTTAATAAGTTAGTTTTACCATGCAGGTTTAGAAGGGCCCTCAAGTAGCAATTCAAACCATCACTAATGACTGAGAGAGAACAGCTCGGTATCCTCTCCAAGCGAAAACTCAAATCATTACTCTAGGTAGGCACTGATTAGCATTCAGATGGAAAATACTGAATAACTCTATTCGACACGATAATAAACTTAGTTATTGCACTCACTGGGATGTAATGGTGCTCTGAGACCTTTTACAAGAGCAATACTGAGGCAAAGGTCACTTCTTTCACGCTCTGTGGCATGGAGCTCTGGACCTACTCCAAATACTCATTCAGGCATTTGAGAAGATCCAAAGTGGCTTCTTGAGGTCAATTTACAACCTTCAGATAGGGAATCCTAAAGCTATTTTCCTGAAAATTAGGGTGACATTCTGACTGGATAAGAGAACAGTTTAGATCTTTAAACCGAAAAATAAAGTCACTTTTGCCACAGGACCTCTGTTATCTAAAACATACAGTATTCATTACAACCAAAGGCACAATCTAAGCACGTGCCAAAGATCATATCTCAATGTGTTGCTAGTTAGTGTCTGGGGCAAGCTAATCATCTCCTTTGTCATTCTCAAAGCTTGGCCTTTCATACAGAGATATCACTTTACTGCAATGTAGAGAAAAAGCTTTTTAAGGATAATTTTAATATTGCTTTGGCTTTTACTAAAGGTTTATATAAGAACTTGTTATCTGGAGAAAATTTCTACATATTCTATAAAATTCATTACTGAAGACAGTTTTCAATATTTATCATGTAAGGATCTAGGTAATCAATACTTCTTTAAAGTGCTGGTAAAGAACAGAAACTCAGTATTGAATTTAGAAATGCCAAATTCTTGAAGGAAATTCTTGATCATCTGTCCTTATGTTAATGATCTTCCTGTATTAGGAGCCACCACAAATGCATTTTAGAAGTAGGTTTAGGAAAAAACAAGTAGATCAACTGTACTTGAACTCCAGATCATTTCGACTATTTAAAAATATGAAACAACACAGCTACTCTTGTACCCTGGCGACTTGTCTTCTAGCTAAGTATGTTGGGAAATAGGACAAAAAAGCTTGACTTCTCATTCTTTCAATTAATATTTATTGGATACCTATGGAACAATGAACTTAACGAGTACTACATACTTAACCTTGCAGGACTCAAATTTCTGGCTGCCTATGTATTTCCAAACTCTTAGCATTTCCTCTCCAATAAAAACAGGATCAAACCACAATTCTTACTTGCTGCATGATTTTGGGAAGATTAAGCAAACATCTCTTCATCTACAAAAATAGGGGAAATATCATTTACCTTGTATGGTTGTCACAAACACTAAATGAGATAATCTATGAAAAAATTACCTAGCATAATTCTTGGTATATCTGAGTACTTTTTAAAAATAGCTTCCTCTTTCTTTTCTTCTTCTTCTTCTTCTTCTTCTTCTTCTTTTTTTTTTTTTTTTAAGAAAACCCAAATATTAAAAGGTACTCTGACTACTTTTCCTCCAATAGGCTATAAGATCCAGGAGGGTAAGTATCTAACCCTTAAAAGGTATTTAGTAAATAATTACTACATGAATAAATTAATGAATATGTAATGGATAACCAAGGATCTGTTTTACATTCTTTGTCACAGGCTTATTTTTAAAATTAAAACCAGAAAACTTATCTACTGGAATGTATCCTTAGAGTTTTCTGCCCAGATCTAAGTGCCTCTACAGACACTTGAACTGAATATAAAGCTTCACCTATGAAGCCCCTGCTCCTACATATTATCCCAGTGAGTTATTTTAAGCCAGTTTTTAAAGCCATTTGAACTTCATGCTACCAAGTATGAAAACTGAATCAACTTGCTATGCCTTAATTAAAAGAAAATGAGTTTTAGTTAATGATAGTATAAACCAATAAAAACCATTTACTTTTACACTTTTAAATGATGTGAATTGAATATTTCACATATAAACAAATTTATTCTTGACCATAAGATGTATTTATAATCCAGGAGAAGCATAGGATAAACCAACTCTCAACAAAAGTATTTCTATTTCAGTTTCATTCTTTTTTTTCCCTTGCAATAAAATTTGGATGCATTAACTTTTTTTTCAATACTCTCACACTGTTAATTAAAATACATTATTAGGAAAAAGTGTTAATTTAAACATGTAGTAATTTACCCAAGCTGGAATGATACTACATATTAATCCTAAAAATATGTTTTCTGTCGTTGCTTAAGTTTTCCAATTTCTCCTTCCTTCAGATAAATGGAAAATTTTTCTCAGTGTTTTCAGAAAGAAAACTGTGTAATTATTGACACAATCACTTGAATATCTGGATAGAATGAGGAATGTAAGACAGATTCTCATATGTGACATATTAAAACCAATTAGAAAACAATAAGCTGCAGAGCTTTATAATGCAATGACTAGGGAAGCAAATCAATATGCTTTCTTGAACTTATATTTGTTATTAATTTTAATATGGGTAGTACTATCATTTGGAAGTTATTACTAAACTTTTTTAAAAAGGAAAAAACTGACAATAAGCAAAGAGAAAACAACAAATATGTTTCAAGACTCTCACTGGCGGAATAGCATAATAAACAGAAATTTGAGCCTATGGCTCTGATTTTTAAGAGCATGTTTTTAAAGTTCATTTTCAAAGGTAAAGCCCCAAATTATCAATAGCAGTTTTAAATAATATTTTACACAAAATTCTGTCAACTAATTAAATAAAGTCTCATTAAAAAACCAAAACTCAATTTTATGTAAACAAAGAAAACTTCAAAGTTCAGTATCTGAGCTAAAAAACAAAGGAAAAACTAAACTATAGTTTTGGAAATGAGTATTCCTCTCTCTTTGAATTAAAAACATATCTTATAAGAAAGCCAAGGAATGTGCTCTTCACTTCCACATCATCTGCTATCTACCATTAGATCCCCTCTGCTTCCTCACAGGTCCCCACGGTCCATGGGACATTCAAGTCCCCTGGCTGTGGTCTGAGGCCAGCCAACTGTCTTCTGATACCTTGCCATTACCCTGAGAGGCCTTTGTGTTTAGTCTTTTTAAATAAATGACTCCAGAGTTTCTCAGACTACCACTGGTGGTTCAAGCAAAGAACTGTACCAGTATTGGGGGACGTGCGGGGCAGCAGTACTGTAATTATCAGACAGACTGACCCAACGATCGACAAGAGAAGTGGACATTATTCAGGACCAGTGTCACTAAAGTCTGTTTTCCTGTCTTCCATCATTAGATGTTGGAGGAACCTAGTTCTCATTTCCCTACCTTTTAGTGATGGGGACACACACACACACACACACACACACATTCTGAATTCTCTCTCCCATATATAGCTCAAGACAAACCTATAATTATTTAAAGGTAGGTAGCTGAATTTACCAATAATAAGAAGGCAGGACAAAAGCACTATTCTGAGAGAACCCTCAAAGAAAAAAAAAAAACAAAACCCAAAAACCCCAATTTGTTCCCATTATCTTAGTTTTTCATACTCAGTTGCCAATATCAGAGCTCCCACTGGTCATTCCAATCAAATAGCTAAAGAACTTTGAGCAAATCACTAGTTCTTTGGGCCTGTTTTCTTGTCTTTAAGAGAGCTGAAAGCATAAAGCATTGACTTCCAAAGTCTCTTTATACTGGAATACTGTCTCCTTTCTATTCTGAATTCAATTATAAGTCAGATTAAACACAGACTCATTTGCTTGTCCGTTTAGGCAGTGATCTCCAAAATGGGGTATACCTTGCAATTAATTAGAGGAGTAGAAACAATATATTAAAACTTTCAATTTATATACATTTTTAATTCAAAGAGAGAGGAAAAAGACTCAGCTTTAATGATCTTTATTATTCTGAATAACAACGCTGTCCTTATTTGGTCTGTGGGAGAATAAGAGCTCCAGAAAGCATGAGGTTGCTCAAAATATTAAAAATAGAACTACCATATGATCCAGCAATTCTACTTCTGAGTATTTACCTAAAGAAAACAAAACACTAATTTGAAGAGATATATGCACCCCTATGTTCACTGCAGCACTATTTACAATAGCCAAGATATGGAAGCAACCTAAGTGCCCATCAATAGATGAATGGAGAAAGAAGATGTGGTATATGCAGATAATTAAATATTACTCAGCCATAAAAATGAATGAAATATTGCCATTTGCAACAACGTGAATGGACATAGAGGGTATTAGACTAAGTAAAATAAATCAGACAGAGAAAGATTTTAATTACACGTAGAATCTAAAAAACAAAAGAAACAGAACAAAACAAAACAGAAACAGACTCATAGCTAAGGAAACAAACTGGTGGTTACCGGAGGGCAGAGGGGTTGGGGAGCAGGAGAAATAGATGAAGAGGATTAAGAAGTACAAAGTCCCAGTTATTAAAAAAAATAAGTTATGGAGACAAAATATACAGCATAGGGAATACAGTCAATAATACTGTAATAATGATGTATGGTAACAGATGGTAACTAGACTTACTGTGAACATCATGATGTGAAAACAATACCTGTATTATAGGGTTGTTGTCGGACTTGAACAAGAATACTTAGCACATGTAGGTCTCAATAAATATTAATTCTTTTCTTACTTTTAAATTGCCAAAAAACAAAGATATATATTTATATAGTAAGGGAGGGAAATTATTAATACATTATGATACTGTTTAAAAGTTGCTTTATTTGTTTCTGCTGGGGTACAACACAATAATCTGTCCCACGAAAGACAAAATTTATCCATGTTAACTGAGATTTAAGAACTGAATTGGTAACTTTTAACTTACCACATTAAAATCTAGATTTTTTTGAACCCATGACTTTGCATCTTCAAATTCATCTTTCATTTCCATAATAAAAAGTGTATCCAGAGCATCTACTATTGTTGCTCCTTTGATATTCCCTGAAAATGTGAGAAAAAAAGTTTTATTCAATAAATTACTTTTGATGGACAAATGCATATAAATCGACCATATCTTGGAAAAGGAGAAAGTAATACTGAATTTATTAATAAACAGTGATATGAATACAGTCTAAAATTCTTTCAGTGAAGGAAAATTTAAAAAATACACTAAAGCCAAACTAAAAATTATCGCAGGCTACAGATTGATACATTAATCTTTAAAGTTTCTTCTGAGTTGTAGGAATTAAATCTGTTAGAAATTTCATTTGTGATTGCATTCTTTAGCACAAAAAAAACAGACCTAAAATAAGGGAGCAACACACATATTAATTTTAATGTAATTATATCAAAGTGCACCTGTGTAAAACTGTTTCAATAGAATTAGATCTAAAATTATTTAGTGATAGTTCTAAGAAATACTACTCTAAAATGGAATTCCACTCCCTCTTTGAAGCCTGTCTGATCCTAACCTCCCCTCCCACCTACCTAGCCAATCAGTCCTGACTCTCTGATCTATGTCCTCTGAACTCCCTTAGCTTTACATTGTTTTTGCAGAAGACTTTCTGTCTTCCATAATTACTTGTATGCATCTCTTTTAGTCTGTAAACCTCCTTAGAATAGAAGTCATGCCTTGTTTATCTCCACAAGCCATAGTAAGAGACTTAGTAGGTTTTTAATGTTCAATAATAAATTTAAAAACCATCAACGTATTAACAGAAAACCAAATAATCTCTTTGACTATGGCAAATTTACATATAATTGATTCTTAATGATACAAGAAACTTTCATAGAGATAAAAGCAAAAATGGAATTACATTTAAAAAGTAAACAATGAAAAAATAAAGTCTTCTGAGTCTGCCTGAAGTTTCCAAATGTCTTGCTTCAATTGCTCATTGTCCATGTTATCTGGTGGCCATGTCCTGAAAATTCTAAAATCACTTCAACCGCTACTACCTCAGGTTTAGGCTCTTTTCATCTTTAAACTGTGTTGCTGTGATAGATCAACCAGTCTTTCTTCCACTCTTCCTAGCTCTGTTTTTATAATGCCCTCCTCTTTACCTGAAATCCTACTGATTCCTCAGAACTTCATATGAATATCTACGGAATCACTAAATACTTTAATAATTCAGCATTTATACATAAGTCTTATGCAGTAGGCCTTAAACTCTGCAAAGACTTGTATTGTGTTTATTAACACCAGGGATGGAAGTAGAGCCAAACACATGGAAGGTCCTAAATAAACAGAAAAGCCAAAATAAATAGAAAAGTATAGTACAGTGACTAGCAACACAGACTCTGGCTTTAGCCACACCGAGGGGTTCAAGTCCCAGGTCAGCCAATTAGTGGGTGGCTAACACTGGGCAAGCTATTCTCTGAGCTTCATTTTTCTCAACTATAAAATGTGTATAATAATGAGGTTAACTGAAATGATGCATGAATGACACTTGGCACACAGTGTCAGCTGACACTGTTGTTCATTATATGATTTATATATGCATACTATTTAACAATTTTGGTTAAAATATAGAAAGTCATGCTTTCTATGGTGAATTCGAAAGTATCAGAGTAAGACTCCATTCCCTTCATCTCGTTAGTTATAGACAAAATTGTGGGAGTTAAAAAGGAATTGAGAGCAGTGGAAAGAATACGGGGTAGCTCTATGACCCAAGGAACCCATCTCCTTCTGTGACTTAGCTTCCTCACCTGCACAATAGCAATGTTATCAGTACCCGCAATACCAATCAGAGGGATGCTGTGAGGACAAAATGTAATAAAGCATGCCAAAGTGGATAAACGGAAGTTCAAATAACTAACTTAACCCACCCTCACTTTCTCTTTCATGGCACAGACAGGAGAAACCTAGATCCAAAATAGAGAGTCACTGAGATATAGTGAAGATCACCACAGCTGGCTGTCTTGGCCGGCTTATTGATAAAGACAGAAAGAACATTTATCTGATAGGAAGCAGTTAAGGCAGCCAACCAAATGCTCCCCTGCTGGGTATCACCCTGGGATCTAGAAATCATGATGCTGCACCCATGTCCATTAAATGAGAATCTATAGAAGTGTGTGCCAGGTATCAGTATTTTTCTAGAGTATGAAAGTGGTTCTAATATGTAGCTAGTGCTCTGTCTGAAGGACACACTATGCACAGTCCTTGTAGATACCTCTATCAGCTGTGTAAGTTTCCTAGCAACATGGCCTGAAAGGTCACACAGACTTCTCCACCACCCACAAGTTCAGTCAATTAGAAAAGTTACTGTCATTTGTATTGTGACAAGCAACACAAAGCATATTCTACTCACCAAACAAACTGCTCGAATGGCCTTCCTTTGATATAGGTTTCAGTTCATTTAATCCCCAGGCATAACTTTTATAATTATTCCAAGCATGTTTCATCATCTGAGAAAAGAAATGAAAACGGGATTAAATTTGAATTTGAGATGTTTCTGCCACAAAATAGATTATATGTTAAAGACCTAAAGGTTAAAATATTAAAACTCGCTGCTTAGTTAAAAAGATGATGATGAATTAAAATGGTGACAATGGTATGAATAAGCTGGAATACACACACACATCCATATGGCCCCTTTATGTTTACAAATGAAGATTTCTTTTTTTTTTAATTCATTTAATCCTATTTAAGATACACATCATTTCAAAAGTTAGTTTCCAACAACAGAAATTTAGCTTATCCCTAAAAGGACGAACCATTCTTACATTTATCTATTTCATTCTCATGACAGCTTAACTCTGCAAAGACTATATTTAAAATTCATATTTTTGTACAAGGTTCTCTGTACTTTGTCAACCTCGAGGTATATATATCACAAAATCCAAGACAAATATCCAAGGTTATCACTTTAAACACTTTGATGTATCTTGACCAAGTCTATACAGAGAAGTATTTTAAATATCTACAGGAAATAAAAAATTTAAACTCTATGGTTATATCTAGATTTTGGAAAACTTCAGCTTATTTTAATATAAGCAATCTTTAATTTTATATATATGTGTGCATGCGTAAGTAACTGAAGACTGATATATTCCCAATCCAGACTCCTTATAACAGGAATCTTTTTAAAGGCCAAACTTTTCTGTCACCAATTAGTTGCATATCTTTTTTCTTTTATTATTTTAAACAAAATTAATTCCTCCACATATAATAAAGACCAAATGAATTTCTCCTGGCTTATAGACAAAGTTCTGATCTACTGTGCTATATTAACTAGATATTAATTCTACTAGATATTAACTCTAGTAGAAAGTGAATGATTTTCAAGGGGAGAAATTATTCCAAGAGCCTGCCAAAATGGTTGTATAACTATTGTATAATAGTTGTATCAATTTTTTTCAAAGAATATATATAATTATGTTTGTATACATTTTTTAAAAAGGGGGACTCCTCACCTGTCTAGAACCTATTCATGAAACAATTCCCAACCCATTAGCAACAGTAATTAAATTATAAATGCAATCTGAAAATGTTCTAATATGGCTCCATATTTAAAAGTATCTTAAAAAGCATCACATAAATTATAAATACTACATAAGGGCTGTTTATCACTATTTATCTTCAGTGAGATAAATGCAATTTTATTAATAACAAAGTCTTCATATGTCCCTGAACACAATAATTGATATCTTTAACCAATGTATATTATCTTCCTATCTCACACTATTGCTACTAATAAGAGCTACCAGAATCTGCATCCATATGTTCATAGCAGTATTAGTTACAATAGTCAAGACATGGAAGCAACTTAAGTGTCCATCCAATGAAGGACTGTATGATGATATGGTACATATAGACAATGTAATACTACTCAGACATAAAAAGATTAAATATTGCTACTTGCAACAACATAGATGGATTTTAAGAGTATTACACTCAGTGAAATAAGTCATACAGAAAAGGACAAAAAACTAAAAGTAACAAAGAAACAAAACAACAACGACAACAAAAACAAACAGATACAGACAACAGAATGGTACCTACTGGAGGAGAAAGGGGTGATGGGAGGGAAAAGTGGGTAAAGGGGGTCAAATACATGGTAACAGAAGAAAACCAGATTCCAGGTGGTGAGCATGCAACTGAGTACACAGATGCTGAATTACAATGTTGTACACCTGAAATTTATGTTATTAACCAATGTTACACCAATAAATTTAATTAAAAATTTAAAAAAGGAAAACTATCTGCTGAGAACTCTGATAAATGCTCTTCATTCAGTATTGTACTCAATTCTGGTTGCAACCCTATTAAATATGTTGCATTACCATTGTCTGATAGATAAAGAAGCCGAGACTTGGAAGTTAAAACACTAACAACTTTGCTCAAAGTCATGACATTTCTCCACAGCTGAGGAGCCAGGGTTCATCCCAGTGTTGTCCTGACTCCAAAGCCCATCGCATTATCCAACATACTGCATCATCTTCCTTTAATGAGTCAGTGCCAGAATCTTTTGATGAACCAGACTGTTGATCTTCCAACAAGCAATAAAATGTGTATAAGATAGTATTTTCAAGATCTTTTCCTTTAAATTAATTTTATTGGAAAGTATAATAAACTTGTGGGTAAAATAATCTGATTGATAATCCCTATAATACCATGCATTAAGTCACACAATCATGGATGAGTCACAGTTTTTATGAGACTCTCTTTATTTGAAAAATTGAGAACATAATTCCTCACAGGGTGTATGTAAGGATTATGTGACCATGGCCTGTATGATTGTGCCTGGCGCACTTCCTAGCACATGGTGGTAATCACATGTTTACTGAATTTTAAACCTATACTGAAACCAATTAAATTCACATCACAGAAACAGAAACCAATGAGCCTCTGAAAAGACTAGATATAGTAGATCCACAAAAACACCTTGAGATTACATCTGAGTATGATTTGGTTTTCCTATTAAATGTATTACATTGGTAAACTTTCCATTCCTTTAAATTTCCAAAGATACTTTATAAATTCAAAAGCTTTTGGAAAACATGTGACCCAAGAACAGAAAAAATGTCATGATGATTTGTTTCAGCTCCAAGTCTGAATAGAAGTCAGTGCCATATACTATTAACAACTCACAGATAGCATAGAGCTCTTCCATACAATACTGTTGCTCTGTCAAAAATTATCATTTATACAATGTACTATTACAGAATCTACTTTAGCTACTTCTGTAGTAAATATTAACTTGTCTATTTTCTTTTCCCCGAGGGAAAACCTGACACTAATTGCTTAGCTCCCTACTTTTCAAAAGTTTCTGTGACATGTTTCTCAAAATGGGTTCTTCATCTCATGGGATTTCTGTGAGTTAAAGTTAGAAAAGAAAAAGAAAACGAGGTGCTCAAAATGCCCTGAATGGAGCATCGAGAGTGGTTTCTCCAGGAATCTGTGAAATGAAGAGGAACAGCCACATTGTTCATTAATTCCAGTGACTGGTCACTCTGGAAATGACTTATCATGTTAAAACCAAACACAGGACTTCGTGTGTGAGTGTGTGTGCAGAGTAACAGTGAAACTGAATTCACAATTCACATATAAAATCAACTTTTAACTCATGACATACAAATATCTGAAAACATCAAAATGCTACTAGCTTCTAATTTTATAGTATTAAGCCACTAACAAGCTGAGGGACTATGGGAAATGAAGGTATTTAGTCTCTCCAGACTCTGTGCTTGTGAGCTGAGGGCAAGGTCATGACTAAAATTCAACTACTAACAAAAAAGTCCATGGATAGGATTAATCTTCCCTCTTCATAGCCTCCTTAATTTTGTTTTGTAGTCTTTCATCAATTTAATTAGGGTTGTACAGCCTGACATCCCAAGTAAAAAGGCCCAAACTAGATGTTGATTAGGACTTCAAATGCAATACTGAAAACTTATGAAAAAAGACAAATTGAAAGCAAATGCAGTTTATTTTTATCTGAATATTTATATTTGCATTGGTGAAAGGCACAGCTAACACATGGTGTGAATAAAAACAAATAAGAGAAATGATTCAAAATTTCCTAATAGAAATTCATTATTTTTACCCAGAGAAGCTGGAATTCAGGCGCAAAATACCCTAAAATAGCATTACTTCCCCTTGGCTCTATGCTTATAGAAGATTCTTCGATTAGCACTTTCTTCCCATTTGGCATCATGGCTGAGAAATTAGGCAATGCCATTTATTAAGGGTTTGCTGCACTATGAATAATAAGATGCTAAAGGACCAAAAGAGAAGTGTTCATAACTCTGCCATGCTTATAATCTAATAGACAATATATGGAAGCTGAACATTCTTCTTTCTTACATACTCATAAATGGCTGTGTGTATATATACGAACAAGAAGAAAACTAATTAAATGTTGTGCACACCTCTACTGCTGTACCTAACAATTTGTTTTCAGTTTTATGTCCTGACCTAATCGAGAACACAAAAAGTCATGAATAAAAAAAAATATGCTGGAATTTCTCCAGATATATGTACATTTTATAACTGATATTTTTGTTGCTAGAAACTACCCCTAGCAAATATTTTTATTTGCTGGTGCTCTAATCATATGATCTTAAGTTATTCATAATAGACACGTTAAAAATCTTTTTTGAAAATCACATCATTTCGGCCAGACAGGTCACCATATGACCCAGTGATTCCATTTTTGGGTATTTAACTGAAGAAAACAAAAATACTAATTTGAAAAGATATATGCACCCCTATGTTCATTGAAGCATTATTCACAATAGACAAGATATAGAAGTAACCTAGGTGTCCACTGATAGATAAATAGATAAGATGTCCACTGATAGATGAATAAAGATGTATTACACACGCGCGCGCGCACACACACACACACACACACAAATGGAATATCATGCAGTAATGAAAACAAATGAAATCTTGCCATTTGCAACAGCATGGTTGGACCTAGAGGGTATTATGCTAAGTGAAAACAATTCTAACTTAAAGGCTTTGGGCTTTTAAGCCTTTTAAAAAAGGCTGCAAGTTCAAGTCTCACTTACAGCCCCTTCCTTTGGGATCTTACACAAAATTTCTTACACAAAGTTTGTACAATGTGATCTGGGTCGCTGGCCTCAGCTGACTGACCCAGGGCCTGGTGTCTGACCCAAAGGCAGACAACTGAGAGCTGGCCACGAGCCTTGGAGGTGAGGTGGCCAGGTGTAAAGTTTGCTCCAATGGAGGGACCAACCCAATCATCTGTTACCTATGGGAGTATAACTGGGAGATATTTACAAAGAATCCAGAGGCCAAAGTGATGAAGAAGCAGAGAAATACAAAAGGCCATATAAAGGAGTCAAGAGGCAGCTGAAACCATGAGGAGACACCAAGAGACAGAAGGCAAGGAGATAAAAGTAAAGAAGCTGGGAGGCAAACATGGGGTGAACAGACATTT